TAGAAACAATCATTTCTGCCAATTCTGTTGATCTGGATTTTAAAACAATAGCTCTGCCCTACCTTCAAGGTTGACTCAGCCTTCCATCCTTCCGAGGTGGGTGAAATGAGGACTCAGACTGTGGGGGCGATATGCTGACTCTGTAAACCGCTTAGAGAGGGCTGAAAGCCCTATGAAGCGGTATATAAGTCTAACTGCTATTGCTATTGCTATTCAAATCCTTTAAAGCTTTGATGGTAGCTGTGCTATATCACAGGTCAATCACATTGCTGCAGTTTGCTTGTATATGTCTTGCTCCAAGTTACTTAGATCACAGGGTTCCACCTGAAGTGAAACCCCTGGAGGGGACCATTTTGGGGGAATTCGGATGGAAGTTTGAAACCAAAAGATTAAAAATAAGACTGTTTTATGTCTATATCATGTTGACAGAACCAACAGCTTACTGAAATATATTAGATGACAGTGCATTCTGATTGCATTGCCAGATTAATAAAATGCACTTGTCCTTATCCCAAATTTCTTATAAAAATGAAAATTGGCCTATTGTACAGCAATAGTATGAGTAAAAGTAGATAAGAGTCCTGGACTTACGATCATGATTGAGCCCAAAATTTATGTTGCTAAGTAAGACATTTGTTAAATGAGTTTTGCCTCATTTTACGACCTTTGTGGCCTCAATTGTTAAGTGAATCACTGCAGTTGTTAAACTAGTAACACGGTTAAGAGAATCTGACTTCCCCATTGACTTTGCTTGTCAGAGGGTCGCAAAAGGAGATCACATGACCCCGGGACATTGCAACTGTCATAAATATGAACCAGTTGCCAAGCGTCTGAATTTTGATCACAGGGATGCTGCAACGTTTGTAAGTGTGAAAAACGGTCAGTGATGTAACTTTGAGTGGTCACTAAATGAACTGTTGCAAGTCGAGGATTATCTGTATAGCAAGCTTTGTCTTGTGCTAATTTCTGAATAGCTTTAAAATGCTCTTAGAAAAGCTTTATTTTCCTCTGACAAAGGTATTCTGCTAGTTCTGACTCCAAGAATCTGGACCTCAGCAAGATTTCATCTGTAAATCTCTATTGTATACAGGTATGATGGAAACTCACTCCTGAGCAGTATTGAATGCTATGATCCTATCATTGACAACTGGGAAGTGGTGACATCACTAGGAACCCAGCGTTGTGATGCTGGTGTTTGTGTACTACGGGAGAAGTGATTTTAGCAAAGGCTTGGGAGAGAACAGTTCCATGGAGCAATTACCAGAAAAAGCATTGCCTGACTTGGAATTATTGATCCTGTAGCTGTGAATTAAGTCACTTTTAATATCTGGACTATGCTGCAAATTATCAACAAATCTACTGATTCTGGTTTGAAGAAAAACCCAGACACAATGCACTTTGACTTGACAATGGATGAACTGCATGCTTATGTAGACTAACTCTGTAAAAAATGAATCATCAGAGCTGCAAGAATGTTTGCCTGCTGAATATCTAAAATTAAGTCGGTCATCTCAGTTTGTCTCTAATCATCAGCACATACTCTCATTGAGCTTTGACCACATCCAAAGTTCAGTTTGTTCCTGAATATTTTCATATACCAAATATGCTGATGAACATCATATGAGCAGACCAAACTTTTTGGGGATATTTTTTTCAGATTCTGCACCAACTTGTCCATGTCCTGGAAAGCAGTCAGGAACCTATTGATCTATAAAAATGAAAGATTATGTATGTCGGTATACGAATTTGACATATATGCAATACATAAGGTGGGGCAAGCGGCAGACATAGAGGAAAATTACCTGCTGGGATATGCAGTCATGTCTGTTGGGAAGAACAACAGGCAAGCAAGCAGGCAGCACTAGATCTTTAAATATTTTTTAAAAACCAGAGACTAGAAACAATAAGCACTAGAGAAAAAACTATGTGCTAGTGCTTAAGCAACAACCAGGTTTATGTTTACATTTGCCTTCTAAGCTACAAACTCTTGCCAGTAGCAGAACAATGAAGGATGTCCTTGGCATCTTGAGTGCAGCAGTTATTTATAAATATGCTTTTGAAGAAAATCTCTATCTAAGGTACTTTTTAGGGACTGGATATGCCCACACACCACGAGTTATCACTTCAAATCATAAGAGACTCCCAAAGTTACAGTGGTC